CCACCATTACTCTTTTCTTTTCAATAAGGCTTTCAAATAAATGGATGTAAGGCAGTGAAGCATCGGTGTTGAACACTGATGTCATGCTGTCGGTGATGATGATGATGATGAGAAATCCGCACATATGCGGATGGGTTTCTTCATCACGACGATCGGCGCTGCCAAGGCGGAGAAGAATTTAGGAGACAACGCCTTGTTGTTATAGCCGTTGAAGTTCAGCATCTACCAGTGGGAGGGATTGGTCTCTTTAGACGGAAGACTGGCGTAGCATTTGGCAGGAGATGAAGGACTCCTTGTATTAAAGTGCACTGTCCGAGACCGGATTGGAAAACAACTGGGAATCGCTTGATAAAGTCGGATTCATGGTCTGGATGCGCCGTGGGAGACCGAACTGTATTGCAAATGACGCTGATTGGAATGTCGGCTAACCGCGATCGAGCGAGCCAATCAAGACCCAATAGTTTCAGCTCAGCTGCCTTTACATATCCCGACCCCACGAATGTAGTTTCTCGGAAAGACAGCATTGGAGCCCAAGCGATCGAGCCAATCAAGACCCAATAGTTTCAGCTCAGCTGCCTTTACATAGCCCGACCCCACGAATGTAGTTCCCCGGAAAGACACACAGCATTGGAGCTCACCGGAAAGTTTTAGCTCTCCACCGCAGGCACTGATAGCAGTTCGAGCGGCTTGTTTGATCGGAGATTGTCCGAGGGTGCGCCAAAGCTTCTCCGAAATGATGGTAATGTCCGGTGCAGTGTCCAACTGCAGACGGACTGGATGACCATTGAAGGTGACTGGGACACTCTCAGTGACCTACAGTGTTGATCTGGAAAGTAACCGGCAAACTGACAGAAGGACAAACAGGGTTCGATTTCGGTTTGGGACGGACGCGTGATGACGGTTTTGAAGTACCAGAGGCCGTATGCATTTCTGACTGACAACACTCATCTTTGTGTCCCATGGGCTTACATTGGCGGCACCGATACTGCTTATGGGGACAGGACTTAACGAAGTTGCAGGCTCCACGATGCCAACATTGTGAAGGTGGTGTCTTCTTTGGGCCTTTGTTTTGCTTCGGACCAGAATACTGTGAGGCCGATTTGGGCGGGTGAGAATTGACATGGCCAGGCTGTTGCGTAGCGTGATGGATTGCATTAACTTCGGAACCGCCACACCCCCAAGTTGGACCATCGCGTTGTCATGCTTCAGGTTGACATTCTGTGGTGGTGGCCTACAGCGTCATTGATGAGTCCTGTTCGATGTGGCTGAAGAGTCAGGTAAGGGGTCCTACATCCTTCGGGGATTGTAGACTGCATATGATAATCAGCAACTTGAGGTAATCTTCCATTAACGGTCCGATTTTGAACCGTTCGCATTCCCGGTTCACGATGCCAGAATAAGTGAGAAAGTCGTCTACGTCACTTTTCGCCAGCTTAGGTATCGATAACGGTGTTGAAAATTGACGTTTGCTCATCAAATGTGAAGTTACATGAAAACTTTGGAAGAATGTAGTTATCGTACTTATCATGCTCTGCGGGTCTAAGTTTGCGGAGCAGGAAGCGAACCTTCCAACTATCATGCTGAGTTGAAAAGTCGACCCTGAACAGGTCTTCATAACGACGAAACCAAGCATCAAACATTATGCCGACCGAAGGTTCATAGAAGAACTCGTTGATACTGCCAGCGATTCCGTCAACCGAATTTGGGACGTTCGATTCAGCCGGGGAAGCAAAAGATGTAGTTGACAGTCGCTCCGTAAGTACTTTTATGGGTTGAAGTTGTGGCTCAAACATTACTTTGAGTTGATCTGCTTCCATCTTGCGTCGCAGCGGGCAATCATAATATGCGTGGACTGTGATAATGTTATCCCAATCTGTGTTGTATGATCCCGACTCCCGGTACAGCGGACTAGTAAGAAGACGAAACCATGCACACAACTGCGATGCTCCGAGCAACAANACGTAATGTGCCACCCGATCATATTTGCCAGTCTTGTCACATTTTTCCAGTCTTGGATCAAGGCCAATCTTGTGGAATTACGTCTGCGGACTTCAACATTGGTTTGGGAGTGGGACAAGGCTGCATTATAGCACCAAACCTTATTCAGCTTGTATCCAATTATTCTGTGCAGAGAAGCTTTTCTAAAGACAGAATATGTGGTAAATCACTGCCGCCTGAACAGCTGAGTACTAGCCACAGGGATGGCGTGTGATTCCAAGGTCCATGTGTTGTCTTTTGCCGATAGGTTTGCTCTGAAGGCACATCCTGATGCGGATTTACGGTACGATAAATCGGGTCGAACTAGAGCTGACTGTTGCCCAAGTTTTCTGAGTGCGAAACCGTTGGTGAAGGCCAACTCGAAAAGATTACGGGAACAAGAGAGACGAGTGTGTTTGTTCTGTCAGTCAAAGTGGCCCCTATTATTTGCTTGTATTCCGGTGACATCTGGTATAGAGAACAGACTTACTTTTCGTACTTTTCTGAATTACAAAACAACCATGCATCAAACTGTTGCTACTGTCAGGATTTGAAAGCAGATATCTCAGGCTTTATCACTATCTCATTTTAGTCATTTTAGCTATGCATGTCGCACCGCAAAAATTGGATTGCATTCGAAAGTGGATGGACGTGATAGTTCCCAAAAAATGTGCACCTGAATCAACTGATGGACTGGTTCTTTTGGAACTGATTGATCTAATGTGAGTATTTTTAAATGTCAACACGTTTCTGTGTTCTTTATTGAGTATATTCACTTTATTGTGACATTTTTTCGGTTGCCTACCAATCCTAGTGATGTCTGATGAGGCAGTCTGTCGTACATCAAAGTATTGTTGAGCCTGGTTGTGAAACAACTACCTGTAAGTTGGGCTTCCCTTTGCTGAGAAGTACGACACGGTATCTGAAATACATAAAAACAATGGCTTCTCAGTGTCAAGAGTAAACAGTAGCCTCAGGAAGAAGCACCTCCAGTTGATGTCTTTTCCAGCTCCTTGCTCAATGTTGCATCGAAAACAGGATATCCTAGGTTTCATACGAAGTCTCCTTTTTTCATCATGTCCTCGTATTTCCCACCGAGCATAAAAGCTGTCTACTTTTGATCTGGTACATGTTTGATATGAAAAAAGGTGAGATAGTAAGGTTTCAATTGTAGAGAGCATCGGCGGTTACGTGTTTTCCAAAGAGAACTAGTTCAGTTTACTGATTGTAAGTGTTCTTGAGGAGCAAGCCACAGGACAGTCGTCCAGCTTTAAAATAGCAGGAAAATCTATAACATCTGTCTACACGACCAGTGATAACTGATAATTGACAGTAGCTATTGAAGCATCTCGAGCTTCAGGCTACTAGACCGCTTCACCAGATCAGGAAGAGAGAGCACTGTGGCATGCGACAGCTGGGAGAGTTTGCTGAAAAAGTGGGAAATCTAGTGAAGAAGGTTACAAACATTCCGGATACTCGCGTCTCCGAGAATTGGACGTTCCCCTGGGAAGCACCGTTCTCCAGCTTCTGATCGCTTGTCGCCTGACTACTCAGTGGAACGACCGTTCGAATTACCGCAATAGGTTACCTTCGTACAATATGAGGCCACGTGCTTTGAATGAGTTTAGGAATCTTTCATGACTTTCACTTTGTCCTCTGCCACCGATGGTGGTGTCTACGTTAGCAGAGTTCTCGTTCGTGGTGGGGTCGTCAGTGTTTCTTCGAAAGCAACTAACGCTGTTGGAAACACCATTCGGAAGTAACAGAGATTGCCACACGCCTCAAATGCTGCAATTTTGGATTCTGACCAGTAGGAACTTGATGATGGGTGCTTTTGAGATTTAGTGCACCGTATATTCCATCTATACTTTCTCGCTGAATCCATCAACATGTTGAAACGGCTGGACATGGAGGTGTAGAAAATGGCCGATTGTTCGGCTATGATATATTTTCATTCTCATATTTTGTCTGTCGTTGCTATTCGTGTTCTCCAGGGCGGACTATACAGTCCGCTCATCCGCTGGATGTATCTTAACGACTTGCTGACAGGGTAATGCTGGATCTCTCAATTCCATGGCGAACGATTCGCAATCAGATGCAACTTTGAATAGCGACCACAGCTCTAAAACAGGTTTTCTGTAGCCTCCGAATGGTAATCCAGCGTCCTTGTGTCATCCCAGTAATTCCAGACCAAGCATGCTAGGTTTTCCTAATTCATTCCATTCATCCGACCGGTATTTACGGATCGGCCAACTGTCTTGCAGTGTTAAGATTTTTAAAATTTTCTCCGCTCTTATCATACATTTAGGCTGGAACGGCTGTAGATGAGATGTGGGGTGACCCTTCAACTAACTACGATAAAAATACGACCGCCCAGTAATAAGAGTTCACTTTTCCTTTGAGGGGAATGAATGATTCTTGTTGCTCTTTATCAGGCTTTTACTTACAAGGAGGAATCTTGCACTATGAATTTGTAGGTATGCTGAAACCAAGTGGGGTCTTAGCATGTTTGGAGGTCGCATTTAGGAGATTCCCTGTGTTGATGAATTAATTAGATGTTTGTCGTGGTAGTAATTCCTATGAGGCCCGTTTTATATGGAGTTAAAATTGTAAACGTAGTCTTATCCACTCTGTACATTCATTCTCCTAGTCCATTCAGGTTAACCTTGTGGAATAATGCTGCTGAGTTTGTCGATGGGCTATGCATACCGTCGGTGTTCAGATCAGCTTGACTGGTATCTTTAAAATATCACATCATAGAGAGTAACATTAGTGGCAGCGCTAATGGTTTATGCGACTATACCTAGAGGTGGCAAAAGGAGCCAGGCAGCTAAGTAACCTGGTACTAGCCTACCACAGTTATTCTGAGATGCATACACCCTCGGAACCGACCGTAATTTTTTGCCCTTGACTCGTTTTATCCACCGCGGTTACCGCATGCCACACAGACCCACGTACGCCGTCAATTGACTGATGTACTTTCACTCGCCCAAGTGGCACAAGCCGTTGAACATGTGGCTTTAATTATACTCGTGAGTAAAATGCCAGTATTTCGCCGTTGTCACTCAGAGGTGATTTACATCCATTCGAAAGGTCGGTGATGTTGTTTTAACCATTATCTTGTGTGTTTACCAACTCCGTTTTTAGGAATAATGGAAATTTGGCACTGGAAACCAGTTCAACAGAAGCAGATAAAGTCGTTCTGAAGGTGCTTCAGGGTGAGTATTTAGTATTTTATCACTCCAGTTTTGTAGAATTTTACGGCACAAACGTGGAAGAGCTGTTAGCATCTACAAAAGATTCAGTTGATTCTTACACTACTTATGGTCGGTGTTGTGTAAGTGTCTTCTTATTCATTGCTTTTAACCCTTTAAGCTTCAATTGCTCGTACTTGCTATGGGACTGCGTCGACGGTGCAAAGTGTTCATGTCTGCCGCGTTCAAACTACAACCAGCTATGCACTATGCCATAGTAGAATTAATGCAACCGTTGATTTCGGAGCAGCCGATTTCGCTTGCTTCTTTTTCTGGTCTAAATGTAGATTCGGAAAACCAGCAGCTTACCCCCATCAGGCGAGGGAGCCAACCAAGGAGTATGTCTATTTTTCTGGTCTAATTTTCCATGCCCACTCTATTAATCAGCTCCTCTCACATGCCCTGCTGGTGGTCGATTGTTGTTTGGACAGAATTTTCGCTTGAACAAGACTGGAGTGGCTTCCACGACCTTCACTGATGACTACAATGTTGGGCTACAATTAAAGTCATCTCCTCCTAAGTGTAGCCCTTCAACCTTCCCAGCTTCAAGTCCAGTTTTGTTGGCCGATAGAAGACTTCGTACAGTCGTCGACTGGGAATCGGAGATTATTGATTCGCCTCTCTACTCTTTGAAATCGATCTTAGATTCACCATCTTTGATTCCCAAAGTAAGTTCTGTTTGTTTTTTACCGAGAACGCATTCACTTTCAATTCAACACTTTGTTCTGAGTCAGAATGCATTCATTAAATCAACACAATGTGTACCTTGTAGTTTTACATATTTCGAATCTTCCACCGACAGTCGCAGTACATAGCTAAACTAGACGAAGCGCGGCATCTGTCAGCAAGGTTGGCTGAAGTCGAACACTTGTACGAAGAATCCAGCATGGAAACAGAAAAACTGAACTCGGCTTATAGAAGTCTGGAACTTCAGTACCAAGAATTGGAGGTACGATGCAAGCGGCGCGAGGCGGAAGTAAGTGAACTACGCGACGAGTTGACTTTCGAGCGTGAATCTCGGCTGAATTGTGAACAGGAGCTCCAGCGTTTTCAGGGGTAAGTTCTTGTCAGACTGTCGTGTGTGAACATACATGCGGAACGAATTATCCATTACCTATAGGTCAGCTTCTGATTTCTTTGCAGAAAAAATACCCTGTTTCGTTTAAATGTTTGTTGTGTATATGACGGTCGCTCATTTTTTGACGGGACAAACGTATTCTTATGATCTGTATGGGTGTAGCTCCTGAGTCTGAGTCGCCGGTAGGTGTTGTGCTTCAAGCTTCCTCGCTTCCACTCGGGAATGAGGTTCACAACATACATCCTTCCCCGTAGCGTCTGTTCTCTGGAAAACTCCACAATACTCCATTTCACTAGTACTTCACACCAATAATCCTGTTTACTTTCCTAAAATATTTTTATCATTGGTGCACCAAATCCATTATGCGTCGTTGATACCTGTAGGCGACTGCGTTGGTTGGATCGGCTTGTGAAATCCAGTCGTTCTAAGGAAATGAGGGTATCGAATGGGAACGACAAGTCCCTAGCTTATACAGTTGATTGTCGTCATAACTAGTCTTTATTACTGTACTTCTATTCCTCAAAACTTTCCGTTTAAATTTATGTGCAGGCTTCGCGAACGCTTCAACTCCGTAGTGGAAGAACTGAAATCACGATCCCGCGTATTTTTGGAAAACCAAGATCTTCACAAACAGTTGACGCATCTTCATGCAAAGGTACTTTTTTGAAGTTAATTTTCCCAGTACCACTGTTGATTGTGTAATTCTGACTTCGATTGTTTTTCGCGGCTCATGCTGAACTGAAACTTTTTCGGTGTGTGCCTCATCCGGTGGTATCCTGTTTATCAACGGTCTCGTGTCGCTCAGATTGTTGACTGCAGTTCCTTCTCCTTTCTTGCTACAAGCAAATGGCCGATTGAACACGGATCACGGGCTTGTTGATACGTCTACTTGGTATCCGGCGGTCTCCACATTGCTTTCGACTAGTCACTTGTTCCTATGGTGTAGTTGCTGGTTGTATTTGTGATTGCCGTGACTCGAAGACAATAGCTTGACCCACCTGATCGATATCTCGTGCTCTCCAGAGGTGTTGTCGGTTTTTTATTCTAGTTAAGCAACCACAAAATGCATGGTTTTTATGATGTCGTTATGAACCAGTGTCAGACACACTGGACAGTGGTCTATTATAAGGTGGAATACTTGGACAATCTTCATTGACAGTGTCTGTGTAAGTTTTTCTATCATCGATTCGGTGGGGTTTGTATTACTTTTGTTATTTTTGGGCGTTCCGTTTGTCTTATCCTTCAGATGAAAAGTTTGGAAAACTTACGGTCACGTTTAACAGATCAGCAAATACTGCAGCAAGAACATAATGCGTTATGCGAAAGGCTCCGAATCGCGGATGAAACTGTGAGTTCGCATTGCATTGTTCTGTTCAGTTTATCGCTTAACAGCCAGAGCTGTATGAGGTGGTGTCCATGTTGAGACTGCCTATGCTGTGATCGGTAATCACAAAATACCAACCCCAAGATTCCTCTTATTCCGCCTGCCTTATTTTTTTTTATCAAAAAATACACCCTAGAACATAGATGAAATGGAAAACGTTTTCCATAGCCACCCAACGAAGCAGTTACCACAGAGGTGAATGGGGAATAGAATATATAGATAAGCTGAATAGGTGTGCAAAGTAGTATCACCGACCAGTCGTCATACCCATCCGTATATCCAGACATTTTAATTGTTAATATTGTCACTCAGCTGTGAGTGAGCAGTATTTGAGCAGGGCAACGCTGTGTTCCGCGCCTCATTCTGCGAATCTGACTTTTGTCCCCTATTGGGAAGGTGTAGGACTGGCTAACTTGTGGTCTCGATCTCCGTGACACAAAAACTGAGTCGGTGATTGTCCTGAGACGAACTGAGGGTTTTCAATCAAAGCGCACTTGCTGAGAATTTCGCGGAACGTTCCACAAAGGTTTTGAGACGAAAATAAGATGGACGAAACAGCATGTTGGGTGACATCATTTTCTCATTCATTTTTCAATTTAGATGCTTGTACGCCAGTTGACCCGGTTATTTCCTTGTGAATTCTGGCGTCGATTTCCGATGGTTACCAAAATCCATTAAACTCCTTCCACCGGAAGTGTAGTAGTGGAAAAACGTATGATCATGTAATCTTATCGTAGAGTTTTGGTGTATTAGATAGCATAATGGACATCCCTCTTATCGATGACCGAGAAACTCTCGGTCGCGTGAACCAATGGACAGTGTATCTAGATGAACTTCAGTTCCAAACTGAACATAATCACTTAATTCCGGACCAGGTCTGAATGAGTAACAATATGTCATTTTTACTCATTTGTCAGACATACTTTCTTCATTTTTGTGTTACGTTCGTTACGGCATCAGCAAGCCAATTCTGTTTAGGTTGTCTGCGTGATACTAAACAGCGAATTGTGGTAACTTATGTGATATCCGGCCGTTCGATATCCTGCGTGTAAAATCCAGTTAAGGTCTCGTATACAGACGTGGACTTACTGATCGAAAAGTTCGTGGTTCGAACCCAGCCTTTAAATCTCGACTACTTTTTAGACTGGGGCAACATGGCAGTATCTCATCCCTCGTGCCTCCTTCGGCTGACATCGCAGCTAGGAACCGGAAGGGTGTCAGCTGAAGAATCTGATCTTTTCTATTTCCACACAAGAACTACTGGTTTGTTTGCCGTGATATTGCAATTACTGTCTGTCTGCCCCATCTACCAAGTGGTCCATTTTATTCCCTATGCTCCCGATGGGCATTGCATTTTTCCACTTTTCAGATACTCCGACTTACCTGTGAACGCGAGGAAAGGTTAGCCCTATCTGAGGCTGAAGCCTATGCGAGAGTTCAGGATTCCCACTGTAGGAGGTATTACAGATCTCTTTCGCAATTTACTCCACATGCCTCGGATACTCTTATTCTTTCTCCTGATTCATCACAGCCGGAGATACTGGACAACGCACACATTCGATTAGACGCTGATGAACCAGTTCCCTCGCCCATCCTGTCACCCAGATCAGCTACTGCCATCGGTATGTGAATGTGTGCTACCAATGTTCAACTACTTTCAGTGTGCCTAATGCTGTATCCTGCTTCATTCCTTTCCTATAAACTAGTCTTTTGACTTTCTAGGGTGCGGTTTTCACCGGGCTCGCTGTTCAATATTCTTATCAATTTTACTATAATCAGTATGTCCTCAAATGGGGTTTCCCCTTAAGGCGCAGTTGAAGATGCTGCAACATATGGCCGCTAGTCATTGTCAGTAGCGTTCTTGTTACAGTTTCTATCCCAGATTGCCTAATTGAGCGTCTGGAGGTGTAGGCACCTCCAAATTATTTTGGTAGGCTAACGCTGATTCCATTTCACTTTTCCACTGTCAATGCTTCTGATGAGGCCAGCCGGTTATTCGTGTACTGTTGGTGCAAATCCCGCCCGCGCGTACATCAGTATCGAGAATTCCTTTGTGGCATTAGTGCTGTGAATTTGAACGTTTTATTGCATTCGCAATTCATTACCATTATTGCGCATTCCACATTCCTAGAAAGTTTATAAATCGAAACACGGTATTGTAGGATTGTAGGTCCTCCGGAATTCGTATCCCCATTCCTAGACGAGTTTGAGCCTTGGGCGATACGAACTACTTAACTTATCCACGAGCGTATCATCTGCAATTTTCTCCTGAAATTGACAGCTCATTGTCCACCTGAAAATCTGTCATCTGTGGTCGCCGTGAACCAGCAGATAAATGACTTGGAACATGTGATTTCCGACTTGAGACAAGAGCTGCAAGATGCTCATCGGGAATGCGTTCGTTGGCAATGTCGTGCAATCGCCGCTCAAGCCCTGTCCGCTCATCGTTTGCACACAACTCGAGAGCTTCAGGAAGCTGTGTCGGTAAGGGTTGTTGCCAAATTTCACCGTGACCTTGCGTGTGGATAGCTGAGCTATTCATTCAGTGTTTTAATTCGATCCCAAATTTATTTACTTATGGAACATTCATATTTGTGAGTATCAGTACGATTAGAAAATTCAGTGGTCATCTACGTAGGATATCGCTACTTAACGTCCTATTCGTAGAACCCGATACTGATTGTGCAGGCAATTAAACGACTGCACGCTAATGCGTGAAAAATTGACAGAAAACACATATTTGTGAACACCTGAAACTACAATCGCCGCTCAAGCCCTGTCCGCTCATCGTTTGCACACAACTCGAGAGCTTCAGGAAGCTGTGTCGGTAAGGGTTGTTGCCAAATTTCACCGTGACCTTGCGTGTGGATAGCTGAGCTATTCATTCAGTGTTTTAATTCGATCCCAAATTTATTTACTTATGGAACATTCATATTTGTGAGTATCAGTACGATTAGAAAATTCAGTGGTCATCTACGTAGGATATCGCTACTTAACGTCCTATTCGTAGAACCCGATACTGATTGTGCAGGCAATTAAACGACTGCACGCTAATGCGTGAAAAATTGACAGAAAACACATATTTGTGAACATCCTGAAACTAAAGTGAATTGATGATCCCGGTTGTTTCATCGTTTGATTCAATTATTCAGTTTTTTTCGCTACTGAACCGCACGGTGCAACTCGGATTAGTTCAACGGTTTACTCAATTTGAACCCGTCCTATGGCAAACCGACCATTTGATCTCAGTAAAATCGTCAGCTGACGTTGGCATGATAATCCCCTCTACGCTCTGTGGGCCTTTATGCGTGTAGATATTGGAGTTATATGTGATAGATAGCCCTCGTTGTCGTCCTGAAACCTTCTTACCCGTCATCCTCCGAATTTTTATCACTTTAAGGTTGCAGCCCAAAAGGTGGCATCCACTGAGGTTCACTACGCCGAAAAATTCACATGGTTAGAGAGCCAGGTACGTTGTATTGCCGTTTTCCTACTGTTTTAGAGACATTTCCTACCTTGGCCTTTTCTCTAACTTCGATCACAATCGATTGTTTTTTTTATTTATTATTTTATTCGTGATGAGCACATTGCTTGTGTGGTTTTCAACTGTTTCTCGCTTTCTGTCGTTTCTCATACTCGTATGATTATATTCCGTCCATGTTTTAGCTCCAGCATGTGAAGTCTCGCGTTAAACATGCAGAAGAAGCGATGCGAACCTGTGAGCTAAATCGCAAATCAGAACGGGCAGGCTGGGTTGCAAAGTGCGAAGCACTGGCTAAGCAATGTCTGGACGAACTGACTGAGGAGTTACGGTCGCATACAGAGAATGAAAAACGTCTGGAAGCAGAGGTAATGTGTGCTCCCAGAACCTGTAGCCACCGTTTAAAACCATTGCTGTCTTTTGTCGTTTGCGAAGCCACATTGGTTTGGTCAGTGTAGACCCTTTTTACGTAGCTCCGTTCACGTCCTCACACACCTTTAACTACTATATATAGATCATTGAGAAAATATTGGTAGCTCAGGTTGTACACATGACCGGCGTTTTGTTCGCTAAACGTAGCTGCAGACATTTCATCGCCAGTCGAGTTGATATCATCAGTGTGAAGGCGCTGAGCCAGGCTGAGTTCGGATTTCTGCATGAAGACCACCGTTGATTGTGATCGGTCGTTCGGATGATCGGTCTTGTCGCTTGGCTAGCTATCGCCTACTGTGGACGGTCGACGTCCCATTGATCTTTGCACTTGACATCTACGACTCGCATCCATTAGATTTTGTTCCGTTGATCAGAGTGGATATGCATGAAGGTAAGGAGGAGAGCAATGACCACCTACGAAACCCCATCAAAATAGTTCTGAAAGGAAGACTCCAACAACAGCAGTAATGCCACAAAAAAAACACAATCAAGAAGGAGAACAAGTCATCCTACCCCACTTCAGAAAGTTATCTGAATTCACAGTTAGCCCACTGCAGGCCAAAAGAATTATTAGTAGCTTACAAACTATTTATACCATTAAGGGAACTAATTTTAGGACCGATGGAATGTGATTTATCGGAATGACTTCATGAACCACATGGGCAAACGGATCAAGAGCTGTTTACACGGCTGGAAGAATAACGCAGCTGTCATTGTTCCCGGTTTCTTCCAATGAAAATAAAGTGGGGATAAATCTGATCCAGAAAGTGTGAAGGTCTCGACACGTGGAAATAGGAAGGCGAACAAGGGCGTTTATAGAAGCCTGACATTTCATCTCACAGCCAATGAGGTGACGTGTAGAAATCGACTCAATCTTTGTACCGCCGACCTACTCGGACATTTCGAAGGAAACAAAAGTAAATAACTAATCGTTCAGCTGTAACATCTTTTCGATATCTAGCTGCCATGCCACCTGAGGGGAGCAAGAGGGTTGGGATACTGCCAGGTTGCCCATTCTTGACGGCAGAAGGAACAACATTCAGACGGACGGATCACTGTGGGAACATGACAACCATAGAGCAAACAGGACAAAAGTCACCATTTGGCAGTCACAGAGATCCAGTTCAAGGGTAATGTGGATGTTGTTCAACTAGAGAACGGGCCAACTAGCTAACCAACAAGGTCGGGCATCTGAACGGCCAATCACAGTCATGATGCATCACCGGGCAACGAGGTATACATCATCAGGAACACAGTATGGTTCGGTGCATTCACACCGTCAAAAGAATAACATACTGTGCACTGACGATGGTTTTTTTCGCACAACCACGTGAAGGATGAAAACGAGCCACGGGAATTCAAACAATGACTTGGCAGTGAAGTATAAAAGCCATTACCAGCATACTCAGCTACGCTGGTCATTGCCGCCTTTCTGGATGGGTACCCCGAGATGGACCATATCAATGATTAGAGACATAGTCAGATATGGCCCATTTGCGCCCTCAATGGCGCTCGTGCATCCAAGCTATTGTCTTCATTGCATAGCTCTTTTCCCAACCCCCCACTTAACATTTCACGGACAACCCTGTATTTACGCACCAATATATGGGGTCTGGCCTCCAATGCGCAGCCACTTACACTACCTCCTGAAATCATTGGTGGACGAAATTCTGGCGGCTACATTTACTGTACGAAAGTACGCGGTTCTTACAGTTGATAATGATGGTGACTGATGTCACCTTGACCGATGAAGAAACGTCTGGAACCGAATGGTCAAGTTCAACGAACACAGAACCAGCCACATAAAGCTGACTTCGTTTGCCAACCTACCTTGTTTACTGTCATGCCTTTTGTTTGTTGTGTTCGGCTTAGTGTGTGTCAACGTCTTTCTAAAAACTGTCTGGGTAGTATGTCAATCCAGGTTATTTATGGGTTATTGTTGTGCGCCACACGTGTTGACCGTGAAAAGCGTTGACATCCTTTGATTAAGGAGCTGTCCCCTCGCTGCATCACAGCCCCACCAGTTGGGAATATCTATTAGTGCTGGTATGCCAATATACCACGCTGCTGAACCACAACGGGGACTTGCCTAGTGTTCCTCCATCAATCGTGTCCGTTTAGATCGCACCGCTTTGGGATCAATGCAAACTATTATTCCACCATGTACTCATTTCCATGTGCATCCTGATTTCCCAGTGCAAACATTCATTCCATACTGTTTTGTTTCAGCTTGCTAGGATGACATCTTCGCTAAACGATTTGAAAGCAACGGCCGAGTCCGATTTGCAATCGCTTGAGCATCAAATGAATAGCGAGGTGCACATTTTGCACGGGACTATATCAGAGCTGCAAGAGACTATCCGGGAGAAAACTGCTGCAAACGAGCTACTTCAAAACCAGGTGAAGGAGCAACTAGAAGCAAACGACGCCTACCGCACGGCCTCGGAAAAAGAAGTGCGTCTACGAGAGTCGCGTTCACGCCCTTTGATCCGACGTGGCTCTTAGGTCTACTCGTGAACCTTTTCCAACCACTTCGTATTTAGCGTTTTCTACTACGTTATCCGCCTTATTTCCGTCCTGTTTCGATATTCTTGGAATTTTATCACACAATGACTACTGACAGCTTAAATTCTAAGGTCATTAAAGTGTAAGATTTTGGACAATGATTGCATCGTTCTCTGATGCGATATTACTAATGGGGTCATCGACAGGCTACTACCGACTTCACCCATTTTGTTCCCCGAATTTCCATCGGTCTCATTTCGTACATAGACACCGAATCGGATGAAGTTAAAGACTCGCAAACTAATGTGGTGCTATCGCAATACACGAGTGAATCGTTTGTTCATGACACCCTTTAATGGGAAGTTCTCTTGTCTCAACTAAACAAGTATTCAAGACGTCGACTCACATATCTAATGAAGACTCGTGAAATAATTTCATTTGCACTTTGATCAGGGTTCAGGCAGCACATGCGAGTGACGGAAACTCGCGTCTGCCTGATGAGCATCCAGAAGGGCGAAGCCAGTCGTGAGCTGTCGATGAATTTTCAGCAACCTTGTGAATAGTTCCTTTGTAATGAAAGCTTTTTTGTGACACATCACTCAGGCGTAGTTCCCAAGAAGCCAATTTTTTCGAAAACAACTTTCTATCAGTCTGTCACAAGGAGTGTTAATGGATAATACTTCTACACGGGGGCGAGATGGACCAAGTAGTTGGGGCGCGAATTTACTGACCCGGAAGGTCTATGGTTCGAACCCGATCCCCGCTTCTCGACTTCCCTGTCTAGGCTACCCGACCTATGCCTCTCGGCTTCCCCAGCCTAGGTTTGGGCAACCTGACAGTATCCCAGCCCTAGTGCAACCTTCGGGTCGCATGGCAGTTAGGCGCCGAAAGGGTGCTACCGCTGAATACTGTTACACACTAGACGGGATCACTGTAATCAGGAGTTATCGGAGCGTTTAGTAGTTATATTCATCGTTTTTGTCCTGGAAGAAAATACTGGATGACTTTGAATGACGTTGGAATTTTTGTTGATCTCTCTTTACTTATCAGTTTATCATATCTCTATTCGACTGTAAATTTCGCAAGTCCGGTTTTTTCTATGCACGTGAGCTCTCTTTAAAACAAACCTCCCTTGGCTTTGTGGCAATAAACTGTCGTTGTTAGTGGTTCTTCTCAGTGATGGTGTGTTTTCAGTGCAGTTCACTGGAACTAGATCTTAAGGTATCGGCGTTGATATCGCTCATCGTCAAACAACTCGTCCCCGCCTTTTTAGACGCCATCGATTGTGAAGTTGGCTAATACGCCTATTCAATACTCGATGAACATTCTTGTTTCTAACTACTGCAAATTTTTTAAAGAACACAATTACTCTTCAACCTTTTTGTTCTATCATTTGATAATATCGCTGACAGCTCGTGCCATTTTGATTGTCTTGCAGTATTCCCTGCATACAGTTCCAAGGCAGTCACATGCGGCTAATTTTCCCAAACTGTCCCTTCCACGCAGGTCGACTGTCTTCGCAATCAACTCAACACGCTGTCATCAGAACTCGCCACTTTGGAAAACCAACGTGAACAACAATACCGAACACTACAATGTCGCTTGAATACTGAGATAGAGCAACTTAAAGATATCAGTGAATCAGCTTCACGGCAAGCGGCTCACTATCAGATCGCTTTGCAAGAGGCTTCAACTAGAGCGGAGTCCGATTCCAAAAAGCTGGCCGCTGCCGTCGCCTTGGCTGATTCAAAGGAATCCGAACTAACCAGAATACGTTCAACAAATACTGAGCTCCAGGAACGATGCAGCGAGTTAGAAGCTAATTTGACTGTTGTCAGTAATCGAGCGACAGAGCAGGAGAATCTACGTTCGGAGCTTGCTGTACGACTCCACCAGCTAGAGACGGATAAATCCATGTTGGAGGTTCGGTGTAGTGCATTGGACGAACGTGTTGCGACTCTGGAATCAGAAGTGAAGCACCAACAGGAGCGCGTGCGACAGTACAAAGAGCAGTTGGCCGCATCACAACAAGACCGCACTGAACTTGAACGCCGGGCTGCTCTACTGCGTGATAGCGCGCGTGAGTTAGAGACTAACTGGATGCACAGTCAAACGCTACTTACTCAGGCACGGTCGCAATTGGCTCAGGTAGAACAGGCACTTCACGAAACGAAGCTGGAGCTACAGCGTGCTGAATATTATCGCGAAGAAGCGGCACAACGGTTGGCTCGTGTCGAACTGCGTCAAATGCAAGGTGCTTTACAGTTTTTTGCCAGCTAACTGAAACTCGTCATTCCAAATTGGCCGGAATTTTCACTCGAAATCACTTTATCGTTTTTTTGTAGATTCTACTACTTCCAAAATCACAGATGTAGTGGGGGTTGCATTTCCGATATCTTTGTCAGGGCTACATGCACATGCATGACAGAATAAGACTGACAGAATCCACTGGTCATTTAGTGTGTGTTGTCCTAAATTTGCTTTCTTTTTATAACATTTATTTGGCATTTAGTCTGACCTGCATCCCTAAACAATAACTTGGATGTATTTCTTGTTTGAACTCCTAAAAGCACCACGGGGCGAACTTTTCAAATTCGTCCCCATGCCTTTCCTGCACTGGCTTCCAGAGACCCGTGTTTAACAAAACATCCTAGGTGCCATTCACTACTTACTGCATTAAAAATTATCAGCCTAGGTTTTTTGTTGATTTGTCTGTACGCCATTTCCATCCGGTGTGTTCTTTTGGATTGTTGACCGGTTTCCACTGTCGCTCTTCGGTACGCCTGTCATACGCCTCTGAAGTCGGCTTTCCAACCATGTGGGTATTCGTTTACTATCTCTTAGGTAAACGCTTGGTGCGTTCAACGGTTTCATTATTCAACGTTTCACGATCCACTACCAGCGCGCACCCAGTCCCAGAAGAAGAGAATCTTATGGATGTTGGCACTGATTCCTCCCAGCTTATCCACACGCCTGTGCAAGCTAACGATAATGTCGGCCGCGGTGCGAATACCTCATTTACGTTTGTGTCTCCACTATCAGCTCTCGATGTCCAGTCAGAGATAGCAGAAAGCGCCGTCCAGGCCCCTTCTCCAGAATCGGCGCCCCATCTGCGGGATGTCGCTGTACAGAAGTGCGGAACGCATCTGGTATCGAATAAAGTTTCCAATGGTAGTGTGTCGAGTGAGTAATTCCTATCAGTAAGCTTTTCGCTGTTCCTCTAGTGTGATCATATCCACCATACTTTGTTTATTTCAACGGTTGTTTCAGATCCCTATAGTTTGAACCATGCCAAGTGGACATCTGACTTGAATAGTACCGTTACCGTAAGTCCAGCTGGTCTTCGAAGGGGATCCGTATTTCATGGGGGTTCCCCCAAGCGACATGCGCGGCGTTTTTGCCGTCTGCTGATTGTTCCAGAGAAAGAGGTGCCTAAACCTGCAATGAGCACCCTGGAAACACAAAACCTCCCAAAGAAACAACGATTCGGCTCGTCAGTCGTTGCAATGGGACCAAGTAAGTCTATACGGTTCGGCTGTTTCTCTATGTTCATTTAGTTAGTTTGTTTCAGACTCCCTTTACTTGTAAAGTTCTGTTTGTCCACAGAACACACATAACTGATGTACAAAAGTAACGATGATAATCAGTGGCTTATGACTGTCCAATTTAATGTCTGTTGGCCTACGTGCGTAACTAATCTACGTTTCTTGTTGGATGCCTTCTGTGACAATGTGTCAGACCCCGATTGCTGCAAACATACTTTCAAGTTTCTCCGCTCAGCAATGAGGCTATGTCGTTTTGTCTTTATTCACTGAGACCCCACCGCTTCTGTGGTAACCATAGCTTTCTGTGTGATGGCCATTCCATCTGCTCTCCGACACATATTAGGGGGGATTCCAGATTTGAAGTTTGATTAACAAGACTTCACCAGGATGTTGAACTGGTACTGAGAACTGGTGCCGTCGGCTTTCAAGAGACACACAGTACCTACTGGTCTTTGATGATCAAGTGACTGTTGATTAGCTAGCCGAGTTTGGTAACTCGGTTGCAAGCGCTTCGTCATTTGAGCAGAGATCATCATTATCCAAACGCGCACTGGTGTGGTCGGCTTAACTGATGACAAAGCGTCTGCAAGCCAGTTGTCAGGCTCAGTCAACCGATCAACAGTCATTCGATGAATACAAAGTAGGTTCACTCGTGCCATCTTTATTTTGACATATTGCGGGCACACAATATTTCTCGAGGTTGACTTGTGCGGGACAAGGAACCGACCCTGTCCAGCATTCCGTGAGACAATCCGTAAAGCCACTTGATGTTTGCCCAAGTTGTCTTAGTCTAACTTTAGAATACCCTTGTGTAGCTCCCAGAGTAGGAATCAACCACGTTCGCCAATTTTTATGAATGTCCTCACATTCCGTCACTAGGTGAATGTCCTCACATTCTCGTCACTAGGCATTTGTGTCACGTCAGACACAAAAGTGTTAAAACAGCTTGCGAGTTATTCCCTGCTTCAGCTGTCATCTCGTTTAGCCGGGTTACAGGTGTCGCATGCACGCTTGTTTGGCCATATTCGTACGGCCAGAGGTAAGAGTTAGGTGTCAGAAGGCAGGTAAGTTATCCCACGAGTGTACAGTGTACCTATGGTGACGCGCAGTGCATGTCGATCTTTGACCCACGGCTATTAACCTTGGTCACTCAGTGTGCATCGGTTGGCGAACTTGTTGGACCGAAGGTACGTGGTTCTGCAACCGCCTCCTTATTGGGAATACCGGTCGACGTGCAAGGATGAAAAATTTATTCTCTCTGGCTTTCCGATAATGGATACAGTTGTCCTTCAAATGTGACCTGAGAGAAAACTGGGTGTGAAAAAGTAGTTCTTGTGAAGTCAGTGTGTAATTCGAATTCAGATCCATCAGTTTGTGATCATGATCAGAAGAATCGCTCAGAAAAGTGCCTAGGATTTGCCGCATTGTCTGTGGACTTGTAGACTCTCTTTCAACCTATGAACTAAACGTTTTTGTGTAACTGGAAGGGAGTTGTTTGGTCCATTCGGATGCCATTCGTTATTCATCCGAAGTTTTTTTGTATCCTTTATATGGAGAGTTTTCAAGGAGGTGATGCAACATCACAGTCAACGGAATCCTAAGACTGTTCGGATAATATATAAGTAGTTAGAAAACTTATCGTCAGGTGGGTCAGGACAAAGCTCAGTAAACTTTCCTATGCCAAACCTAGCAAATTCCACTCTTGAACATCGGAGTTTCCCAACTCCAGATAAATTCACGGGTGATTTTGTGAACATGGCTTGCCACAAAGCAATATAGAATTAAGCCTGGATCTTTGAATCTCCAGACGTTTCTTATGTAAGTCTAATTACAGGGGCGTTTGCTGTCCTATCACATCCACGTAAACAGGCTTAATATGCGCGCAGTTTTCTTCGGCACATTTCGCTTGTATCGATTTCCAGGTCACGGCAACCAATCCAAGGCCGAACCAGATGTGTCGATCGCCTCGGAATCTCAACAGCTATCCTTGATTCCCAAGGTATGTACTCCTATCAAATTTGGTGCATTCGGTTGTCCAATCTACATGCTTAGTACCTGTGTGATGGGCCCATGGTTGACAAGTCACAGCGAAGACGAAACAGCGTACATCGCCCGTGTTTTTTAGTGGATTGTCCTAGGTTCCAACTCAAAGTGACAACGGTTGAAGCAAGAAAATTCAGAGTCCCGAACCTTCTTTCGTTTCTCCACTGGTGGGTGTGTAGGTGCTTGAATTGCACCTAGGTGCTGAAAGCGCGCCTAAGCAATGGCTCGCGAGACCACGCGGTGTTAACAAATCGAACCATTCACCCGCTAATAATTTCCAGGGCATTTTCTAAACGTTAACTAGATACAGATGTGCTGAATATGACGGATGATACTTTAATATTGATCACGTATCTTGGAAGTTGTATTAGTTCTGATTGTAGTGTGACAAATGAGGTGAATGCACGAATCCGCAAGGCTCGGGTCGCGTTTGCTAACTTGAGACACCTATGGCGTCAGAATGGTTTATCCCTGAATCTGAAGGGACGTGTGTATCAAGCTACAGTACGGGCTGTTTTGTTGTATGGCTGTGAGACTTGGCCTGTTCGAGCAGCGGAACTGAGACGTCTTCAGGTGTTCGACAATCGTTGTCTCAGAACCATAGCTCGTGTGAATTGGAGTCGGCGAATCCGTAATCAGGCAGTCAGGAAGCGTGTTTTCGGTTGTGTAACGGGTACTTCCATTGAAGAATGTGTCCAGCACCAGAAGCTGCGTTGGTTGGGACATGTGTTGTGTATGCCGAACCATCGTTTGCCGAAGAGAGTGCTGTTTTCCATGCCCAACTCAGAGTGGCGTAAACAGAGAGGTGGCCAACCCTTGACTTGGCAGAGGAGTATGAAGGAGATCACGAAACGCTTGGGTGCTGTCGGTGCTACTCGCCTTCTAGGATGGGGACCGCGTGATCCTCACTGTGCCTGGTTGGAGACACTACAAAATATGGCTACCAACCGATGTCAGTGGCGTTCTTGTTGTCACTTTCTATCCAGATTGCCTGAGTGAATGACTGGAGGTGTGGGCACCTCGGAATGATTGTGGTAAGTTAGCACTAAATCCGTTCCCTGTCCACCTTTACTCTTTTCTTTACAGTAAGGCTTTCAAATAAATCACGGTTGTACGGCAGTGAAGCAGCGGTGTTGAACAGTGATGTGCTGTCGATGATGATGATTGATCACACTGGTAGAGAATTTCATAAAACGTGGGGTATTGTTGATCCAGGCTATGTTGTAACAGCAGTCTTGCTGTGGTCATAGGTGTATCAGCGCGTAGTGGTCAAACCCCGTGCTTTATCAGGATGGTATGACAGTCCGTTGGCCTAGGTAGACCTCCTGTTGATTAGCTAACCAAAAGTCATCTGCTCAGAAAAGGAGCAAGATACCATACCGGTCACGCGACGCGAACTTTGAGTGGAGGATATCAGCGCTACATTCTATGTAGGTGCAATTAATCGCAAAGCCCCTTGTGGTTTAGTGTGTAGTTACCCGCCATAAGGTTGCAAGCTCGAATCTCCACAGATATTCGTCAGATGCGCGCAGCTGACGATTGCCAGCAGTTGTACATGCCTCTCGGCTTTTCAGCATAGGGTAGTTCCGAACACAGCTGTACTAAATAGAACCAGTGTATATTTGTTTCATACTTTACAACCAATGAACAGTGACTGGTTTGAACCATTGTCTGCAGTGCTTAACTTCTCCAAAATGTTACTGTATGTTTGTTGATCATGGCTTTGGAAACTGTCATATGATTGGTTCGGTTATCCAATGTCATTCAGGGCGGTAGGTCTATCTGTTCTTTTTTATTTGCTTTTTTTCGGCACTCAATACTCATTAGCTGACTCACTGGTTGATTTAAACTTTATCCTTATTTTCCGAAGCATACATTGGGATTTTTTCGTTTATAGGTTTTATTACCATCGCGTTTCGTTTCAACCTATTTCAGACGTCGTCCAATCCCGCTACAGCAATTGTCAAAGGTCTAACGTACATTCCGGAGACCCCGGTGCCTTGGAATGCTCCGCCGAATGACCTCTCCAGAAGCAACCTCAATACCTCCACTGATGCGAACAGCTCAGTGGCCTCTGTCTGCTCCGCTATAAGTGAACATGTACCAGGTATACCTATCGCTGAGGCAGGACGACAACTGTCGCTTCCTGTTTCTTCACTGAAAAAGGGTGCAAAACTGTGGAGGCCGAAAATCCCGAAACGCTTGAAGCGACGCTCACCAAACGTCGGTGGTGTTCTCGGAGATGACGGGAAAGTTGATCCATTCGTCAAACCTTTAAGACCGGTTTCCCACAGTAAAAGTAAAACGAACGAAGGCTAACGATCACCACTTGATACTCGAGTCATCCTCTCGAATACCTACTACTTCACATATTTTTATCGTTTTGTGATTGAACTGTTGTTTTGTATAGTTATTCAATGTTCTTTTTTACCTGTACACAGTTGTAACTTTATTACACATGTTGACGTTGACGTAGTTTTGTCTTTAAAGAGTGATTTCATTCTAAACGCCTGTTTTGATGATGCGGCACTGTCAGAATCGGCTGAGTTGTTAGAAGCATTCTTTCCTCGAGGAATCCAAATGTTTCCCCTGTACTTGCTATATTTTTGCGCGCAGCTGTGATTGATGGTAATGGGACAAAGGGTGATTGACGAAATGTGTATAATTAGTATCTGGTAGGCTGATTTTTCACAGAGTTGACAGTGTCATTGTCAGTTCAGGCAGAAGAACGGGGTGAAAACTGCCGAAGATTTTCGCCATGGGTTGTGCTTCGGTTGTCATTTACGATAATAACTCTACTTTCTAGTTCTTCCGAGTGACCAGGTCGACGTAACTCATACTGAGGTCAGTTACAGAAGAGCTTGTTAGGGATCGCACAGCTAAGCTCATATTCGCTGGAATGAGATAGGATCTCACTTTTTAAGTGTACATGTGTATTACTGGCAACCGACTTATGTTTCCGACGAGACACTTACCAGATCCTTGTCGCAAGGAAGCTCTTTTGTCCCCCAATCAGTAGCACCAAAGAGGGAGTGAACGTGCACTCAAATGGTCAGGAATTGAGTCGTTCAATTGTCGCAGTTCATGACTACGTAGACGCACGAGTGCTTTTATTTTTCCAGTCCCAAACCACCACTGGGAATGTTGCAGACTTTCTGGTGCGTGATGCTAATCCAGTCACTGGATCACCGAGATTGTACCATTTTGTGAGATGTTGCACTGATTCATCGAACTTCTTGAGACCACGTGCAATGGAATAAATCAAACTGATCGAGAGCGCAGATCTTTCTTGAAGGCTCTTCTTCAAGGAGAACCTGTCTGAAGAGATGAGAGCGACTTATGGACTGGATACCGTTCTACCCGTGAAATCATCTTGTGGTAGCAACCGTTAAGCCAGTCTAACCATCCTAGTAAGTACAGTGATGTAACATCTCATTCGACATGAAAACGGGCTCAACTTAAACCAAGTGTTGAATAGTGGTCAGTTTTTGACTATTTGAAAAAGTCTCCTCGGTGGAAGTGGTTCACCATGAATGTGGTGGCTAACAATGAATGCATTGCACGCTTTCCACACTGGTACAGTGAAATTCCTGTTACATCAGATATCAAACAATTGTGATTGAATGTTTCAATTCAGATGGAGTAAATACGGTGAAAAATATTGCTTATCTGTGACTTACGCAGCCTCATGAACATTTTGCAATGGTCATCAACTGCTGCCATTTGGATCGAATGGAAAGCCAAAATAAATTCGAATGATATCCGCAGTAAAATACAGCTTACCACATTTTCTAATAGGACAATAACAATGACTGGGAACTTGATAAATATCCAGCTTTCTCGCGTTGCCCCACCCTGTGTTGTCCCTACTTTCGTTCGATTGCAACTTGTTCCAGCAACTCGTGTATGCATCGTATTTCTTCCGAATCAGGTTCAACTAATAAGTGCCAGCTTGTACTAGGTAGTGCATCAGCGCTGCTTATGATATCAAACTTTTGGTGCGATAGTCCGTTGCCAACCGTAGACGAATAACAGCGTTCACTCGTTGGGAGCAAGTTGATAGCACCTGCTCCGCCACAAACTCAGGTTTAACTATTCCACGGGGTATCATGCTGTTAGCCGGTTAGCGTACACCGCGAAATTTGACTGCATCGACCGTTCAGATATGACAGCTTTCTAGCCGAATTAACCCACAGTTACTTGGCGAAAATCATATTTCTTGGTTACACGAACTCCATGTGGCTAATTCAGGAACCCCAGTCGAACTGAACGAAGCCGGACAACAATTTGTCGCTGAGCCTAATGGCTATACAGCACATATGTTTCATTGGAGTCTATTATGGTGTATAGTTTATCGTGGCGAAGATCAGGCGCAACAGTATGTACGAAAGTGCACACATAAGTGGGGCTTCCGAAGACTGATAACATACTTCCCTGTTATTGGTCTACATGAATAAAGTTATCAGAACAAGCATTCCGATCAGCACAAGAGGAATCGTTGGCTAAAATGGACATCATATAAAGCTCAGGCTAACTTCATTTTCCGCGCTATTCTAATACCACCACGATGTCCTTATTGAAAGGCCTATCCGCCTCAGCTAAGACCCTCAGAAGTTAGCTCACACGTCACATTCTTCGGAGCAATGTATTCGGGTCAGGCAAAATATGACACTACAGATGGAGAGACAAGGAAAGAAATTTACAGAAGCTGAACTGGGGCAATTAACGATGGCGAATTAAAATGCAAACTCATTTCTATGCTGAAGCATGCGACTTGCATCTTTTTCGCGGAAGTATACGGAATCGTTGTTTTCAAGCATGATCCTCTGTAGTTCACGTACGTTTGTTTCCAGCGTGTGGCGTAATTCACGTCTTTGTTTGATGAGTTCCTGAGGTAAAAGTTACGCGAGCCGTACATTATTGTAGCGAAACGACAGTTTTATAGAAATACTGATTTCTAGAAAGGTATGCCAAGAGTAGATTTATCCGGGGGAGGTGGTACCTTTATTCATTCATGGCATCCATTATGTTCGATACCACCTTCCCCGAATAGCTAACCGGCAACTACAGAATTCGAGATTAGGGAGATACAAGTGTCTGGTATTTCTTCGTTATACAACAGCATCCGAATTTTCAGGCATCATCTAGGCTGCAGAGTCAAACCATAGGGTTTGCTTACCTTCATCTTGCCACACTCGTTTCCCATATAGTGTCGAATCAAACAAAAGTGGGAAACATACGCATTTGGTGCCAAAGCAGAATTCAACAGAATCTTTCATTCATGATGCTCTCAAAATGAATGTGCCGCACAAAGGCCCTCTCGTGTTTCAATTGGAACGCTAGCTGATTTGGAAAAATCATTACTTATAAGGTTCCTGAAAACCCTTCGACATCCCATTGTTGGTTTCGCTCTTCCAGGGTATTATCAGATAGGCCTAGTTCCCGAGCTTCCATCAACTCTATGTCCCACCTGAACACCAACTGGTGCCTTATTGGTGAAATTCATTCATGTCCAAGTTAACTGGAGACTCAAGTGAAGCTCACTTATGATAACATAGGTGGGAGATTCATTTGGGCCTTCTGTTAACACCAGAGTAATTTTCAAACGAATGTATATCGTCAATTGCAGCAGAACACCGGTTTTATGGAAGCTCTCCTACTTGATGAGCCCAAAGAAGGATGAAACAAGTTGAAGAAGGATATTCAGCAACCATATAAGGAGTATGTTATGCCAAGTTAAACTGGGAGCTGCTCTCCAAATGTCCCGAACATGGACACCATGCATATTCTAGGTGCCATTTGTTTTCAAATTTTGAAGAATGGACCGCATAAACATCACAGTGAGAAAAAACGCGCCACTATTCTCCTAGGGGAAAGCTGCTGCTCGCTAATCAAAAGTAAGCCGACAGAGGTCAGCTTTGTTGAGAAGACTTAACAGGGATCGCACAGAAATAGATAAAAACGACAAAAAAAGCAAACGTGAATCTAACATAGAAAAAACGATCTGTCCCTTCCCTTAAAATCTTATAGGCTGGCAATACAACGAGCTTTACAATAAAAAACTGCAGCCTGTTGTGTCGAGCCAAATGAATTACTTAAGACGCCATAGTACGAGGAACAAAATCTCCAGTCGGTGAAAATGTAATTTACCAATATCGTCTGAATCTAACCTCCACAATGTCTCATTTTGCAAGTGGCTGGTCGAATCCAAACACTGATTGAATAACAATTCCGGCTGTAGCTTACTGGAGTAAATGTTGCCCAAAATCAACACTGAAAGGTGATGACAACTGGGTAAAATCCCCCGAAGTGTTGTGTCTGTCTGCACACGAAAAGTTTAATCCTATGACGTTACTTACAGAACGGCGGTGTGCTCACGATCGACGCAGTTTCGCTTTTCCCCCGAAAAAATGTCCGTTATGGATGTACTCGTAAGCCGTATGAAGATAAACACTGAAAACCACTAATCACCTTGGTTTAAAGGTAGTTTTAACTGTTGGAAACTAATTTCCTTACAAACTGTAAGCTTTCCTGGCTTTAGTTTTTTTGGTCTCGTTTATATGAAGTCAAGTGGATTATTCATTCACAACCAAATGAATACTATGTCGTTTCTATACTAGCCACAAGATCACATCGGACCATTCCCATGAGTTAACAAACGAAGATGTCAAAATCGTTGGTGAATACTGTTCTATCGACGGTAGGCCAACTCGAAAAGGAAAAAACTCGGTCGAATACAAGAGAAAAATGTATCTGTTCGTCTCAACACTGGGTTAGTATCCATGTTCGTCCCCGTGCTTAAGCCATCGTTCTGCTAACTTTTGGAAACACCTTTCGTCTCGATGATATCAAACAATGTCCATTTTACATTCATCTTTGTCTCCTCTTCGACGCACTTTAGCTAAAACGGGAAACTATTTTTTACCCCGAACTGGATAACTGCGATCCCCGATCGTAAGTATCACGTTTACCGAACGGGACGCATACTCGAACTTGGGCGGATAAACGTTACATCAAAAGTAGCATTGTATAGAAAGTTTCGTATGCCCTCAAGGCGCGTGGTTGATGGATGTTGGATATAAACGGTAAGATTATCTGACTTCCTAGCTGAAAGCACGATCGTATGGAATGTACATGTATAGGGTGAATTTGTTAAGAAAAAGTAAGAAATATTTACCGCAGGTAAAGATAATCAGTACACGGAAGTGAGACAACTGATCACTATCATACTTGATCTATTTTGCTAGCGAATAGGAGTACTGTATGCTGACCGATCCTTGCGGTAAGAATGGCGACTGGACTATTTCAAGGGGAATGTTTTGGGGAAATCGGACAATGATCCGTATGATGGGATTCTTACATAGAGGGAGTGTGTGGGAGTCGTAATTGTCCGGCGTAACAGGCGTATCGTTATAAAAAGATCGATTGTAGGAGTATACCGTGGTACAAGAAGTGTTTCACATTTACAGAGGGCTACAAGCTAATCGTGTGAATACTTGGATCGCTTCGCAGGTGGAGATATGTACGCTAATCCTCAGTATGTATATAATAGTAATTGTTCTGGTCCTCGTCGTCTCCGAGGCATTGGTCCTAAGAAACAACCCTCCTACGATAGATGAATTACTCACGCTTCATAAGTTACGCTGGTTAGGACATGTACTCCACATGCCAGATGACCGTCTGCCTCGCAGGGCGCTTTCTGCCCGACTCAGCCCTGTGCTGAGTGGAGGAGAATCTGTTTCAACTGATGTCGCTGCAGAGTATGATGCATGGAAAGCCATACTCTTGCTTCGCAAACTTGTCCAAAGTAAATTGGTTCCTCCGCAGACCCTAAGTTCGACGACATTGCAAATACTGATACAGACATTCTGGAGACGATATCCGCTTTTCCATACGCGGTATCACTGTTTGAAGCTGTCTGTGAATCGACCAGACGATATTTTGCGCACTCTTGCATTAGTAATGACGAATGCAAACGGTGTAAATTCAAATGACTGACCAATAACCCATTCGAAGCTCGTTTTCATGTGCAGCATCCAACCCTCCAAATTGTCAGATCTCCGGATACACCTGTTCAACCGTCTTGAACAGAAACCTTCGCTGAGGCGTAGCACCATTGCCGACAAGTATCAAGTGCTGATCAGCCTGCAGCATGACACCACTGTTGTCCAGTCTGAGTGTCAAGCTGGTTGGAAGTTCATGCGATTCACAAGGCTCCCAAACCTTTGTTCAACTATAGCTCGTCTTCGTCTGATCCCACGCGTTCTGGTGCGTCAGTACTTTCCCCTGAAAATCCCTCATTTCGGTGCTGGCACTGATGAATTCCGACTCTACAAGCAGCATGGGTACCAGCAATTCAGGCCCATGGGCCACAAAGACGACTGCTGTAAGACACGCTCACCCGAGGTCATTCACGGTGCCAATTAGCCGCAATCGCGCATCTCGATTACGCCAAACTCCAAACCGCTGTTCTTAGCACGGTTGCAACTTTCCAGATTAATGCCTCCTGTCGCCGGCAGCTTCTCACAGACCTGGTCAATGACTGCCGATCCGCCTGAAGTTGGACACTGTTTCGGACTTCATCACATCGGAGAAACTTCGGTGCACGACTGTGCAAACTCCAGCATGACAGTCCTCCAGTATTGCTACCAGTGCCAGTAATGGCGAGCTACAGCTTTTTGCGAACTACCATGCTATCTCTTTTAGGGAGGCAAAATTCACTAGAATGTGCTGTATGACATCCGCGGAACTGATCCCCTGGGTCTCGAGTGATTCGATCAACTGGGTTTGGCCAATTTCGTCCGCAACGTAGTGCGTTCTCTCGCTTCGGATCCAAATAAACCCAGCGAAATTATTCGGCGCTTCGCAAAACATTCCCCACGTCAGTGGCCTGCTGTTTTTTCGGTACCCTGGTGTAGGGTGCACGTTGATTACGCTGACTCCACTGAAGGAGTGGCCCACCTTCTTTTAGTCGGTGCGTTTCTAAAGGAACCAGAAATCGTGCCTGTCGTCGACCACCTACAAACCCTGCCCCAGACCTTCAGTTTACATGGCTTACCAGAGACTGTTTCGGAAAATCGATCTCAAATTCTGCCGCATAAAAATAATCACGCACGTCCGTTCATTGCCGTATCCCCCGTAATCAAACAGTCTGGCTGAAAGTTCCATCGATATGTTCAGTCAGCCGCTGCTCGAATCTCGAGCGGACGGGACATTCATCGACGTTCCCAGATACTTTTGTTGGTTTACCGCCATATTTGACATGAGGGTACAGGTTTTTGCGTGTGACCACCGACCAGGGTAAGATCCCCGGATTTAGGGTTGCGTCCTACAAAACTGCGGGAGCCTTATCTAAAACGTTTGTGTGGGCCAAGACACCGAGACCTGGCAATAAAAGCAACTTCGCCCACGCCATCTGTCAGGACTAGCGTCGCGTCCTACCAACCCATCACTAAAAATCCACTTCGGTACCTACGAAATAGCACCAATCACGGTTGACAAGAAGCGCCAGGAGACGTCTCAAAAGGACAAACATGGCATACAAATCTTCCTTCAAGGTGGATCGATCGCCGCCGACGGCAAGCAGCTCCACGGAAGGCCCATTATTGATTTTTCTCAAGGGAAGGTGTTGTGGATGTCAGCATCCCAGCAAAACTCCCTAATTATTGCACTATTGCGAAGTTGATTTTCTAAAATTTTAATTTCAGTTTCTTTGGCGTTTTTCAAACATCTTGGACATCTTCAAAAAGACCGCGCTTCTGTCCTCTTAGCTAGGTACACTTTGACGTTCCTCTCACTGCCATTGATCGAGGTAGTAAAGGTTCTCCTACGAAGGTCTCGTCCTAACTCGGGCTCGCGTCGTAGCTTGGGATTTATGATCTCGTCCTCACTTTGCGCATACGAGTGATCGTCTCGTAGTTACGTAATAGCACTATTCCTCTAAAGCCCAAATGCATACTGGCAGAGTAGATGAAAAACTGAGTAAATGAACAGAGCAGAGGTAATCCTTGGACGTCCTACTGAATAGCCTCAAAACGAAACTGAAAGGTGCATTATGGGAAATCAGGAACCATAAAAAACACTGGACCGTCATGAAGAAGCAAAATGAGTAAACATGCACTCTAATAACGATGTTTAAAAGAAAATCAAGTAGAATCCGATTGAAAACCGATTAATGTAATCCGGGACATACCAGCCTCTGTTGCCGCTGGGAATTCGTACGCTGTGCCTCTTCCTGCTCTAAGCGTTCCTTGATAAAGGCCATTCGAGCTCGACGGCTGAACGATAAGTTGTGTTGAGGTAAAGGCTACAGTTACAAATACTTGGCAGAGTTTGGCAGCTCAGTAAGCCGGAGTTTTACGTATCCCAATCCGATAAAAACATAACAGGGATCAAGCAATACACAGACTGAACAGCCATGGAAATTGCTCTGGAAAAGCTGTAGTTGTAGGACTCTATTATCACACTCAAAGTTGCACGAAATGATTATGGTTTAAGGTGTGCATGAGTTCCACCTTCTACAAACAAAAGTTCCAGTGCTATGATGATGTAGTCTAGCTCCAACCTAAGCTACTGGAGCCTCCAACCAAGAAAAAAAAGGCATAACCGTGTTTATCTATCTGGAGATCTAACTATATCAACCTCCATTTATTGTTCCGTATCTACGAGCGGCATCTAAAATGCGGTTGGAGACATGTGTACTGACAGAGTAAGGGGATACATCGCACAAGATTGTGAGTTTGTACATTTCACGCATTTAAGGAACCATCGGAAAAGACCGCCCTTAAACTTATTTTTCATCTGGGTTGGCTTCTGGCAAGAACAGTAATAAAAAGGATACGTGTATTCAAGATTTGCCATCTGTTCCTCTTTCAGGATCCGACATTTGTTCCTCTCTTCACGTTCCAACTTCTGTATATCCATCAGATTCTCCCTCTCTTGAGCAAGAAGCCCTTGAAAAAAGTTACGAAAGACCTGGCAGGGCGAAAAAGATTTTTTTAAATCGGACTGAGTTGGAAAAATAGCGAAATAAGCGTATGTGGGTCCATGTTACGCACGGAATAATACACCATTTTCTCGCAACGTATGATTAGGTGGACACAAAACAAAATGCTCAGATGCGTGATGGCAGGTAGTAATGGAAAAATAACGATATAAAACGTAACTCTCATCGTTGATTGGGTGAAAGCTATGCAGAAATAGGATTAGAGTTTTGTTGAGTCGCACTGTGTTCATTCAGACAGTGACCTATCCCACGAAGGTCACCACGCTGGTCACTTGGGGCAAGTAGCTGTGTTGACCGAGTAGCATCCACTACGTTTGGACTTAACATACAGCTTGAAAATGGCTTCAACCAGATGTCGCTCAAGCCATTCGAATCAGTCTTTTTAATAAAAAGACGAAAGCGCAGGCAAGCTGTCTTCGTAGTTTTCTTGGGTGTTTATCCTGCTATACTAATGTATGCAGAAAACTAGTACGTACAAAAGGTCGACAAGCTTCCACAAATAAATTGTCTAAAAGAAAAAAACAACATGAGATTTACACCGCGCCAGACTGTCTCATGATCAGAAATGAACCAACGCCCTAAACCCCATGGATTCGAATTCATCCCAAAGTTAATGTATCAGAGTTTGCAACTTGGAACCCTTTGGAATTATGAAGGCCTACGAACAGAAGTGAAAACGCGAAAGCGAATTACTAAAATGTCAGGTCACTCACTTTTTCTTCTTCGAACACTTTGGCCATTTTTTTGGCTCGAAAATCAGACACATATTGCTGATAATAGCTTCGAATACGTATCAGCTGTCGTCTTCGTTCCTGAAGCTGAGCTCTTAAGCGGCGATCCTCTTCATCCGCTGTCTTCTGATCCCGAAATCGACTCATCCGCATACTATGACGGAGAAGTTGAGCTAAACGCCGCCTATTGCGTTCTTCAACCCAAGTTAGCTTATGTCTGTTTGAAGGACTGATACCCGGGAGTGAAGTGGGTCGCGAAGAAACTGCGGAGCATGCACCTAAAAGTTGAGCTAAGATGCAGTGAGAATGAAGAAAGGTCAATCCAACCAACTGCATAGGTTCTAACTTCATCCATCATACAGACAACAACGAAAACAGTTCAACGCATTTAAATTGTTATACGTCATAGTAAACGCCTAGATCTATTACGAATAAGCAACAGTACACTAACAGCTTTCACCCTGTTGGATGTAGTCCGCGAAGTTCGAACAACCTTATCCGTCATACCTTTAGCTTAGAAGTTACTGAATTTGGGTGAACCATGGGCAACAATAAACTACTAGTAGGTGCTGCTGCTTGTGTGTCATATGATAATAGCAGCAGGTTTTGGTTGCATTAGAACAGGGGAGAGGTGGAAACAGCCCCATGTCAGTTGGTAAAACGCTCGTCTATATAAGGCTTCCAAAAAGCCATCTGGATAACGTGTTGAAGACACCATTAGTGGGATTATCCCCGTATCTTTTACCGATATGGCCACACAAGCCGAACGAAAAACGGGCGGCGGACACTGAGTAGGGTGTCAAGCTAACTGGTGGTAGTGGGGTCGGTTAGGTACCACGTTCTATAGAGCTGTCCATAACGTGTAAGGAGAATCACGTGGACCACACCCGGGAAGGCGTAAAGCTTACACAGTGCTCAACCTGACAGTAGTCGCGTTCACTTCGCGTTTCCACGTTAGCTTCAGCCTGGCTTCGTCGAGGCTTTGGAGTAGAAAACAGTTTTCCCCAGTGGATGGTGATTGGTTACACATGGCACACGTCCAAAAGCTTTGAATTGACAAGATTTATCTGTTGCTCCACAGATTTGCATTCATTACACGGTACTCGCCTACGGACCACTAGAGTGTGGAGATGATGTGGCCACCAAATGATTGTTATGCTAAGACTGCTCTCACAGAAGTTTCGCAGACACAACCATTCAACATCATTTAAATTTCCTATCGAGATTTTGTCCTGTTGACGAAGTCGATCTATTCAGTTAGTTGGAAATACACTTGGAACCGATTGAATAGTCATCGTTTTCGGAAAATTTTGGTAATAACCAGTAGATTACTACCAAACTTTCCCAACAAAATGCCAATGTGTATTTTTTTTAAAAATGAGAAGCATTGTACAGCTATTTCATCCATATTGAGAAACATCAGCAGTACACGTCTCACGAAACTCAAAGAGCTTCGAACCCAAAGCTTCCCGGTTATTAGTTTGAACACCTGACCGTTCAGCTACGATCGGCTGATCACCATTGTGAATAACTTGGATTAAAACAGGATGTAGCGCTATCCATTTATCAACCTCGGAAATCACATCACGCGACTACGTGTTGACTGATTCCTAGCTTGACAACTTCCATTTCCAGAAGCTTTTGATCCTACTGTAGGACCAAGCTGTCCTTGAGCTGACGTCAAACTGAGTTTAGCTCAGTTTCTGAAGAGAAACAATCAGTAAGGAGTGATAACAACTATTCTGAGGAGTTCATTGGATGAAAAACCCACATGATGGATTTCCTGCCGTAGGATTGTAGTTACTTCGTTGGAACTATATCTGCCAGGTTTCGAAATCAAGCTTTCAAAAATTCTTTTCGAGACGTTTGTTTAGCTTGTGGGTCAGATATTTTCGACGATCAAAACAAGTTTTCTATGCCGTAAGTTTTCGCCGGTAAGGGCATGACCTGAATCGACGTGAGTATCCCGTGGAAGCCGACGGTCAAGAATGGAGCCTGATTATGAGGAACCATCAGATTGGCTCCACCAGAAGGACGCAGAGTAGCACCACGGCGTCTACCGCTGTTAGTCCATAGTGAACGGATTACCCAGTCGTGTTTCTGAAACGCTGAGACACCCTACCTGAGCGATGAGATCTCCGGTGACTACAACAATACCTAGAGTTTTTGTGTTGTACAGTGGCAGGTCTTCGATAAAGTGCATAGTCCGCTAGAACTGTAGTAAACATATAGAAATTAATGGTAGAGAAAGAATGACCAATATTTTGGTCGGTCGCCATGTAAGGACATTCCTCCATCGGGTAACCGTTCTGGTCTTCTAGAAAACTGGGGATAGTATCGGGAACTTCGCCGAAAGACAGATGAGGAAAGATACAAAACCCACGAAACAAGAGATAATCGGCGTTAAAAACAAAGTCACTTTAGGCAAAGCACTACGTCTCCAATGTCATGTCAGAGGGTTCGGTACAAAACTAACAAAGTTTTGGTCTTAGCACTTGTTACCCTAGTCCTGGTTCTAGATTTTACTAAGAAGATATTACCAAAAGAAATCCAAAGCAGATTCAATTCTGCATAGGGGACTCAACATTGTGAAAACTTAGCACAATCCATCTGTATGACGGGTAATTATGTTTATGATATCCATGATGCTGTTTACTGTAACACTGACAAACATGCGTCTTGGCAGTGAACATTCTCGGGGCCAAAAATACCAAATTGAAAGGAATGCAGTCCATAAGACAGTCATCGAACTAAAGTAGACATCGATTACCACTTCCTCTTAAGGACGCGTTTGAATTAAACAGATGAACAATATACAACATGACAGGGGCGAAAAAAATCTTGAACAGAGTAGTTTCCCACGTCATTTGAGGAGAGCGATAAGCTGCACGTGTTCCAGAGGAATCTATTGATAACTGTAGCACAAGGCACCTGGATAGCGTACTTCCTAATGGATCTATTGAAGGTTTCGGGTCAAACTAAACTAGCTATACGCTTAGCCAACCACATTTCCCACTTACGGAGAACGAACGCACACTTGATCCTCGGTAGTACGTGCACACGAATTTTGCTGACCACGGGGAGGTGGTAGTATCACCACTGAGAGAACGTTTCTAAAAAGGACCGCCGATACATGTTCACTCTAGCCTTTCTTCCTAGAGGATTAATGTACTTCTAGTCATGAGTTACCATATGCACAGGTCTCAGACACGATATCAAGGGCATCTTTCGGATATTCATTTGAGAATTAAGGACATTAAATTGTTTCAGTGTGCGGTTCACTGCACCATCGAACACCCTAAAACGGAACTGCAGTGTAAGCTCTTATACTCAGATAAGTAGAACGGGAAGGAAACTCTTTCAGTTAAACCCAAATGCCACGAAGCAAGTTTGCCCGCAATACGATGACAGTGTACGAAACCGCTTACTTGCATATTGGCAGGTGAAACATTTCAAGTCTTTTTGTCGTCAGATTATTACGATGTCTAAACGAGTTCCACATTTTGACGGAATATTCGTTAAACATGACGTTGCATATTCACAGTGTTAGGGGATGCATTCCAACGGTCTGGATGGTGTGATCAGTTGAAGGTATCTACTTGGTTTGTACCCAATACTGAGAGCACAATTAATTGGGTTACTGCCACTTGACTGCTTCTTCATTTGGCCCGCAGCATAGTGTCAAATTTGTGAACCAGCCAGTCAGAGACCAGGTCGCATGTTCTGGATCATACAGTGATACAGACGATGCGTACGTAAATACTGTTCAACAAAATCAGCTGCAACCGTAATGGTTAAGAGACCGTGAGACTTTCTCAACGTGGGTAAATTCACTTCTGGACGTTAATTACTATAGCAGATTCTGGGTGATTATGAATTGTTACATGTCACTTTGTGATGAGCAGACATACAATGTGCTGCGTAGCTTACCTGCTTTCCTGCGCAAAACGCGGGTATCGTGACCATCCAAATCGAGAGTCGGAAACGCTGCTAACAGTTTGTCCAAAAGATCACCTGGTTCATCTAGTAAATTGGTCAACACGGTCTCCATCTCCGGTGTTTTCGGACGTTGCGTTCGCCGATCATGCGTGTACCAGGTCAGTGGACGCGCACGGGGTTTCACCAGTCCACCCGAATTTCCACATTCAGAGCCACACACTGAAGTTGATGTCCTTGAGCAGCTATTGCCATTGGTCTAAGTGGGAAAGCAGTTTCCTAATAAGCATCAGCTGCAACCTGCGCAACGATGGGTGATTCTGGTAAGCTACATCAGAACAAGTCACAAAAGCTGAAAGCTACTGCGTCTTCTATATAGAGAAATCAAATAGATACACACCATTTTTCGCACCATAGTACCAACAATATGTTACCAATGCGCTGCCAAAATATGGTTAACTCCTATTTCAAGGTTCTCCTTTTACAAAGTTTGTCTAGTATCAATCTATTTGGATGATGTGACGTGGAAAATAGTCTCGCCTGAGCAACTAAAGTATGTAGACGGATAGAGCGCAGCCGCTCAAAAAGGTATGGGAGTGATGAAGCAAAGAACTGCTCTGAGGATGTACACGTTGATTAGCTACAATAAGCTGTTCAGCTGTAAAACCCTTTCGATGCCTAGCTCCCATGCCACCCGAAGGAAGCACGAGGGCTGGGATACATCCACGTTGCCCAAGCCTAGACAGGGCAAGTCGAGAGGAAGAGGTCGGGTCCCAACCACGGACCTTCCTATCAGTAAATTCGCGGTCTTACCACTCAGCCATCTTGCCCCAGCCACAATAAGGAACACTAAGGTAAGCCGGTCTCCTTTTCAGGAAGGAACTATTCGAAATTCTTCACAGAATGTCCCAACATGAATCTTAAGTTACAGAAGTCAAAGTTACTCAGACGTCCAAAGGGATATCCTGACAAAGATACCTAGAGATCTCCGTGGAACTCATCCTAAGTAATCCTGCGATCACTCAACCTTGCGTGAGTGATAAACTACGACCGAATATACAAGCTGTTGTTGCAAAAATCGGTGATACTATCACCCAATCCCGAAGGGAAACTGGCTACCACGCGGGGAGATTATACAAATATTGCTCAGGTCCCAAACTGACTTTTTTCATAACGTTTCAGAGATTCTTCTGTATAATTAATCGAGATTAACCACTGATTTCATTGCCAAAAAGTGGAAAGTTGACCACCCGAGACGAGAGTTAAATTACACGGAGAAAAATGGAAGGGAGTGATAAAAAACTAGTAACTCTTGAGATTTCACTTCTATTTTGCGCTTATGAATTTTTTGGTCCATGGCGCGATCAAAAAACCTCAATCCACGTGTCAGCCCACTAGCGGTCAATTGTATTCGTTGATATGAAAGAGAGTGAGTGATCCGCATCTCAGACCCAAAACGCCACAATGTTGTCCAGGGTAAATCGCCTTAGATACAAGAAATATCATCGTTAGCACTTATGAAATGTCCCAAACAAACCTGCCATCACGTGACCTATGATGAGGAAAACCATTCAGTAAATTCGTACGTTGGAGGTTTTCAGTGAAATAAAAGAGCGAAAACAAACGTTCGATGATCTAACCCGGTCGACAGACGATTGGCTGTCTGTAAAGGGGAGTTGTGCAAAACGCCATCGATTTCTTTATGCATAATCAGGTCAACCCGCCTTTGGCTAGGCCAAAAGCTGCTCCCCAACGGACTTGGCTGAAAGAGGCGAGGAGCAGGCAGGATGAGTCACTTATCCAGAGAACATACAAACCAAATTCACGGCCAGTGATTCGCAAAATTAGGTTAGATTCTCTCCTCAACGGCTTAGAACAAGAGCACCAAAGTGTCTTCCCTCCTCGAATAGGATGAACGGAGAATCTTCAACCCGTACATCTGCACAAAAGCCCAACCTACGAGAATACCTACGAATGTCTTCATACTTTCGCACCTATCTAACCGGGATGCAACTCAGAGGTTTGTTGGTACCACGACCAGTAAAGTCTATTGGTCAAAATACCTCACAAATCGACATGGGCTACCCCTTTGAGACCAGGTTTCGGGATTTCAACGCAACGGTTTCACTGTACTCACCATCTCGAGCTCAAAAACACACTACACTTACGACATTATGAATACAACGCACGAGAGATGATCACCTGGCAAGCTAAGGTCAGGGCTGCACCCACTATGAACACTGTAGCTTGCCTTGTCGGCAGGATATCGATTATTTCTTGACTCCGAGATACAGTGAACCCGGTATAAGAAGGTGGTGGTTCTCCATCATTCTTACTTACGCATCAATTGATGTTCATTCGGAACCATTGAGAAATAACTCCTATCAGCATGTCCAGAGAACTCACAGGATAGACGTCATAATCTTAACGGCAGATATGGGTACCCAGGCTGGAAGGGCAGAGGTGAACGAGAATATCCTGGAAGATCGTCGGAACACATCACGATTGTGTGCAGATCACAAAGTATTCCATTCAAACACAAACTTCCACAAAAGTTCCAAGCGAGTGCGACCCAGCCTAACCCATCTGCTATCCAAAATTGCGATTACCTCCTCATGGCGAGATGGCAGTAGGATTGTAAATCAAACTGGAACTCTCACCTGGGGTCTCACCATGTCCTGGGGTGCACAACGATCTGTTAACCGTCCGAACACAACACTAGCCATGCTAATTTAGTTCGGTTGACGCAACCAGAAGCGCTCCATCACTCCCACCGGTTGTCTTATATCGAAGAGACTGCACAACATTGGACACACATCACACTCTCTAGGATCTGCAAGTACCTCAGTACGTGGCCTCATGAGCCATGCAAACAACAGTCGCCAAGCATCTATTCACTCTTCAAAACGTAGCGATCAACCGCGTAATCAAACCAATTCCCTAAAACAGAATCTCGGGTCTTCTGGGGCAGTGGTTCATAAGCATTGGAAGCTCAAACATGTAATCTAGCCCAACTAACCAGGGAAACCGCTCCGTAACGGGCGAATCTCAACTAGACGACCAGGGAGAGGCAACAAAATAATCAACGGCAAATTGAGATTCAGTGAAGAGGCCGAGTATTTCGAACATCAACTAAACTGGCACCTTGTGTCAACATCTTCAACCACATATTAAAATCGTCAGTAAACAGCAGACCTTTGTCTCTGGAGTCTACAGAAACCTGAATGGACACACCTCGAAAAATATATATATATAAACACCCTAATGTTTCTCTGATATCAAACGTGCTTTTCAAGCTAACGACCAAGCTATTCTTCGAAACCGCCTCACAAAGGTCCGGAAAAGTTCATCCGTACCTTGAAAGTAATCTAAATGCGAATAGGGGCTTACAGTGAATCCTCTCCTCAGTGGAACATTTGAAGCGGTAATGGTAAAGGATGTCCAATATCCTCGCTCTTATTCGAATTTATTGTGAACGAAATTTTCGAGAACATGAAGAAGGTAGTGATAAACAATGGAATAGAACAACTGAGAGATGTGGAATACACAGACGATGAAGTCGGGATTTGCAGATAAAAACTGGGAAGACAGTATACTGTGAATACGATCATCTCTGTGAGAATTTCGTACATGCAGAGAAGTGCACCAAAGTAATGTTTGCGATTGTGTTTGAGGGAAGATAGCCATTCACGTCCAAGTTTCATGGAAGAAGACTTGGACTTACACCTGCTAGCGGCATTGGAAAAGCATACGACCACTCGGAAAAGGTATCGATGAAACATGTCAAATTCAAGTAATTATGAACTCCAAATTACGGACAATAGGGTTCAGAATATCCTATGATGAACCCGTTTTACACTGCGAAGAGCGAAAACTAGTTGTCCCGAAAAAGCTTTCACTCTCCTGAAATAATTTATCCCCTAAAATTTTCGCTTCATTTATTAAAGGGGGCAGCAAGTATGGTCACATTCACTATACAAAGCAACTAATGATAAAGACGCTTTGGGTTACTGCTTCCGTTCTTCCAAGCTTACCGCTGATGGATTGATGGAGCTTCTCCATGCATTTTGTTTCATGTCAGTTTTCTGCTCTAGGTGAGAAGAAAAACGCTACAGAAGTACGGCTCGAACCATGTGTTAAAAAGTATATATATATATATAATACCGGACAAACACCGCTCCCAGTATGGGTAGCCGAATTTCTGCGTTGTGACTAGCTTGAATGCTATATCTTCGTTTTGTCGAGTTTAACGTTTTCATAAAGGTCATTGGTGAACAGTAGCACATTCGGCTCCGCACAATCGTCCGTTGTTGACAGGCAAATCAGTATCTGGTTCCCGCCTGCCATATATATCCTCTCTAGGAGAGGCCATCACGTGAAGCAGAGCTTTTTAGGACCTTCTATGAGAGGACCCAACATCAATGTACCAGCTGGTGGAAAATGACAAAGAAATTGCAAAGCCTTACGAAAACGAGCTTCATTCGCTGAGTTTTATTCTTGCTATAAGTGTAAAGCATATCCCTAATTCCAAGCAGAATTTTTGGTTGCTGAAAGGCATTAAATTAGTCATTCGTACTTCTGGTCAGTTAGGAGTTCCGAAACAGAAGAAAACGGTCCAATGGTTAAAATACTGCTTTATTTGGTTTGTACGTACACTTCAACTTTTCGTATCAACAACTCCAGCAGGTAAATAACGTATCAATAGTAGACTAATACGCACTCATGCAAGTGGTCAATGAGTAAAGGGATGAAGAGAATCCGAGTTGAACACAGGGAGGTTTAGTAACATTTGATGAAGCAACAACTATCCAGATACATGGGCCTGGTAAGCAGCAAAAATATAAATAACGCTAAGTATTAAATAGGAACACAATTATATCGACAATAAAATCGTTCAGCTGAAGCACCCTTCCGGTGCCTAACTGCCATGCCACCCTAAGGAAGCACGAGGGCTGGGATACTACCAGGTTCCCCAAGCCTAGACAGGGGAAGTCGAGAGGCAGAGGTCGGGTTCGAACCACGGACCTTCCGGTCAGTAAATTCGCGCTCTAACCACTTGGGCCATCTCATCCCATCGACAGAACAAGAGGCTTGTCATTTTCACCCTTGTATAATGCTTTCGCGCCGGTAAGGATCTTTTTTCCGTTACCGGAGTCTAACCGCTCCAACCTGTACGTTGGGACTGTGAAACCGTACCGCAGGAAATATAACATCTGACTCACATGTTTGAAAGACGTCGCCCTTGGATCGGACCGTAAACGGTCTATTGGGAGATGCGCGAATTCTTTGTCCTGTAGACATCCTCTGAGTTTTTCACGTAAGTAAAGCAGACGGGAAGCGTTATGCTGAGTCTTCGGAGCGCAACCTAGGTTTCGGTCCACAATATCACTAGAGGAGTATTCGGAAAAATGATCTCCGCGTGCCTGGCCCTCGGCCTTCTCCCGTGAAGTGACGGGGAATTTCTTTGAATCCAATTCCGTGAGAAGATTATTCACTCGATCTCTCACATCTTCGAGTGCGGAGTGTTTGACAGGAGAACATAAGGACTGAGTGGATTCATAAGAGGACCTGCAGTGGAATAAGATGATCATATGTTTCGAGCTGAGAAAAACGGCACGTTTGATGTTGGAATGAAGAGCAAGCTGTGGAGCATCAGAATTTACCTGGGAAGAAAGTCTAGTCTGATCGCATAGTTGTGTCACAGTACACTTGATCTCTATGTTTGGTATGAATCCGAGTTGCATAAATGGATCAAAAACTGTTTGTTAGTGGAACAGGTCTTGGAACATGACTGTCGTGAATCACCAGAAATAATCCAATCAGACCACAAAACTAATGCTGATGTCACGTCGACTGAATTAATCGTATTCGTTACCTAATACAAAACACAGAAATATGAGACTAACGTGTAGACATCTCTCGTTCTGTCCCATACCCCCCGGAATGGATAATTCCCACCATACATGGGCCACAAGATGCCAGTTCCACCAACTACGCAGTTCGTCAGTAAAGCCTTTCTTCGGTGGTTACGAAGTTCAAACTATGATCACACAAAAATCGACAGAGGTGTGCTTACAAAAATCCTACAATTAGAAGCGGAAGCAACCTAGATTACCCCGTCCCAACTGGTGAGCATATTCGCAATTGAATAAGGTGTCCAGCTTGTCCCACGCAAACAATACCGTTGAGGAGTAAATATAACCGTCTCTTCAGATGAGATAGGTTGGATTTGGATAGACTGCTTCTAACGTCAGACAGTCAAAATTCGGTCCGAATTGAGCCCGAAGATAAACACTGACTAGAAAATGCACGAACATCAAGTCTAGTACCTGCCTTGTAGTTAGAGTACTATCTGAGTCGCTCTCATACATCATCACGTCAATAAGTACTATCAAAAGAGCTACATCTGTACTTGCAACGCTGTAGCTCTATAAACAAGGGACTTACAGACTCTGTTCAAGACTCTCATGGCTTTCATTTGTTCGAACAAAGTTCACCAGAAATTCCAAAATCTCCAGCAAATTCCCCCAAGCAGTTAGATCAGAATCAAGCAAATCTGAGGCTCGAATATGACATATCGGGACTTGGGTCACTTCGGAAATTTTGTCTAGGTGCTCCGTCAGTACGCATGCCGGAGAGCTGGCTGATAGAAATCGCGAATAAAAAAGAAAAATAAGGAATACCGGTGGAGCGAAACCCCACGAGCCTTTCTAGCACTTCCTGCAAAAAGTTGACGTTAATGTCTTCCAGTTGTGAGCATGTGTGTTGCAGACCCAAAGAAGTGCATATTCGAGTGGACAAACTAAGGACAGAAGACGCTGTCCACATCCTTGGAGAACCGAAATGAATCCTTAGCGATGTTCGAGTTTCTAGATAGGTTGATTTATTGTCAAATCCGTGGGGCTGTAAAGGAAAAATAACAATCAATATCATTTCTATTGACCCTAATGGCACCTACAATAGTAAAGTGCATCTAACCGTCCAACTAAGAAATACTGGAGAGCTGAAGGTGTACCGTGTTATGTGGAAGGTATCCGTATAACACTCGGGATGGGTTGGGCCTGTCCAAAAATTCAAATATCCACTACAACCAGGTGCCGCGTGAAGCCATAGCCAGTGAAGGTGTCGTACTGGATCAACATGATTGTGAGCTGCTTTCGCCCGATGCAACGTATGTGGACCTCCTGACGTCGATCTTATTTCCGAAAAAACCGTATGACAAGTCGGTGCGAAATTTTCAGGTAGCTAATTTATATCACGAGACTCATCTTTGCTGGCGTGAAACGCACAGCACACACCGTGTCTTATCAGCCAGAGTCATATCGGAGATGAGAAACCCAATGGCTGCGACTTTTACCTTAATATCGAGTTTGCACGCTGTGAAATATGCTGCGTGAGGATGAGACAGCTTCGAGTGTATAGGGTCATCCTTGACCGTGTACATCACCAGTGGCAGGGACTTCACCGAATTCGACGCGATGATTGTTCCAGTTGCGTACACCGTGGACAGCGGCCCACACCATATCTGGTAGTGGTTATCTGGTAGATGTACTCGCTTGACATGCTTCGTAAGCAGAAACTGCCTAACGGTAATTATATGCATATATATATATATGTGGGTGAATAAGGTCATCAAGAATCGTGGGGCAGTAGCACCACTATGATATCCCCCACACTCATGGTACTCCTTTTTGGATGCGGTGAGAGAATGGTCTCTCAGAACCCCCATATTATGAGTTTAGCAATTTGTAGGCCAGGTGCTTCGATCATGAATACAGGAAGTATGACGGACAGATGGACATGAACACTAACTTTAAGAGATGGCACAGGTTTTTCTATTGACCCATCAGCTACCCAGACCCTCCCCATAAGAGTGTTAACAATAATAATCGTTCAGCGGTAACACCCGTTTGATGCCTAGCTACCATGTCACCCAAAGGAGATACGAAGGATGCGATACTTCCCAGGTTGCCCAAGCCCAAATCAACTGTGAACTACTACAAATCAACCCACTCGTAAAGTCGAGGTCGCGTGATTGTGCAGCCTCCGCTCTGAAGGCTGACAAAAACAAACCCAATCTAGTCTGAAAAAACGAGTGTTACCAGTTAACGTGTCACAGAAACCAAAGCACTGTGAAGCAGTGGCTCGACAACTATCCATACAGATTTAACCGTCCTGTCTCGCTAGTAATCTTTTCTCTCACCTGACCGGCATTCGATCGAAGCAAGCGTATTTTCGTCACTGAGTGGCAACTTGTAAGTCCGGCAGTTGCGGTTCATTCTTATTATTAGCATTAGTAGCATTGTTGTTGACATTACTCATTTCATCACTTGTCCTTGCACACTAGGCTACGAGGTTTTGTGGCTACTTCTGCACCTCGGTTACCTACTAAGCCATATCTCCGAAGCCCATCATCATCGACAGCATGACATCAGTGTTCAACACTGATATTTCGCTGCTGTACGACCATGATTTATTTTAAATCCTTATTGTGAAGAAAAATGGACGTGAGCAAGGGAGAGACTTAGTGCTTGCACACCACACTCATTCTGAGGTGCATACACTTCCAGACACTAATTCAGACAATATAGATAAAAACTGACAACAAGAACGTCATTGACATCGATTAACAGTCATATAGTACAGCGTCCCCAACCAGGCGCGATGGGGACCACGCAGTTGCCATCGTGGAAGGCGGGTAACGCAGACAGCACTCAACTTTTTCGTAATCTCTTCCGCACCTCTCTGTCAGGTTAATAGTTGGCCATCTCTCTGCTTTCGCCACTCCGAAAGGGTCAGAAAAAAACAGCACTCTTTTCAGCAAACGATGGTTCCGCAGGCACAGTATATTGCCTAACAGACGAAGCTTGTGGAATTGGACAAATTCTCCAATGGAAGTCCCAGTTGCACAACCAAAAGCTCGCTTTCTAAATGTCTCATTGGGAATTCTCCGACGCCAAACCGAACGAGCAACGATTATCGAACACCTGAAGATGTTTCAGTTCTGTTGCCCAAACAGGCTAAGTCTCACAGCCACACAACAAAACAGCCCGCGCCGTAGCCTGATACACAAGTCCCTTGAGATTCAGGGATATACCACTTTAAACACTTAGGTGTTTCAAATTAGCAAACGCGACCCGAGTCTTGCAGACTCGTGCATTGACCTCATCTGTCACGCTAAATTCAGAACTAATACAACTCGCAAGATACTTAAGGCGCTCCACAACTTCCAGTGTCTCTCCCTGGATTGTATGTGACATGTTTAGTGTCCAGGAGCATGACCTAGCTGAAGCTGTTCACAGAACATTTGTAATGTCACACCGTGATGAAAATTGGGTAGAGGTATGACTACTACAATCTAATAGTTCCTCGGGTTTGTGGTTGAAACATGTGTAGCGACCCGTAACTTGGAAAGCTGAACCACCGTGGAAATATTAGGCCAAATACCGCTATCCAGTAGTTGGAAGTTTGGGCCAAATGATCTAATTAAGGACCCTAATTGTACTTTCACCACTCTGGTGGTGGGCTCTCAGCCCGTACAGTGCCGCGGCCTAGGAAGTACCGAAACTCCCACGCCAAAAGAGCTGTTTCCTGGTGCATACAACCGGGTTGTATCCATAGCTGCGTACGGTACAGTGAGCGAGTGGAAACAGGATAAGGGTGACACCCAGCTTCTTCTTAACTCCTCGTCACCCTCCTCCATATAAAGAGACTCTTCCGTACATTCAAAACAAAGGCATGTAAGTCTTGAGCCGTCATGAAGAGACTAAACTTTACTGTTGTGTGGTTAGCGAACCTCCGTTACCCAATAGCTATACTGTGGTATCCATTCAATATAACCGACAATCCCATTCATCATGCATCTGTCCTGGCCGCGACATTTATGGGTATGCGGGCGCCGACAGTCACAAGGATCTCGAGAACAATCTTTAAATTCGACGCTCAATTCATCTGGCTCCTTTTGTTGTTTTCAATTTGTAACGGATAGGATGACAAGCTGGTGTTGCACATGCACTGCAATTGCAATGTTGAAGTGTGCTGTGCATAGTAGAAGAAAATTCAGATGCAAGCATAGTGACTGAACCACCCGATCCCGACCGTGAACCTCTAGTGATACAGCTGCCGCAGCGGCAGGATGTACAACAGTCGACATCGTCCACCGGACAAAAGTGCTTTTGCCTGAGTAGATACCTCGTTATAACCGTCTACATGCATCATGTCTGGCACAGTCTGCAGAAAGTTCATCTTAGCCTGTTTATGGTACCTTTTTACGCCCCAAAGACTGTATTCTGATACCATCAAGGGAAACAGCTATGAAAAATTGAGTGCTCTGTTACGTCGTCGTTGCCGGAAATCTGAATGTAGAAGTGGACCGATTTAGAGGTCTTGAGGCTCAATTAAATGATTCGCTTGGATTGGACCAAGTAATTAGGGACACCGGTAAACAGCTGCTGCAGCCGCGTGCTGGCCGCAGTCTGGCTTTGCGCAGTGCCAAAATAACCAAAATAGTCTGGCCAAAAGGTGGGCTCCAACAGCATGCCAGTCATGAACCCAAATCGGTCATGTCGTCAAATCCAAAATGTCCAAAATTCATTTATTCCGGATTTTGGGAACCCTAAAGAGCTGATCCGTAAACTAAGACAACTATTCAGTGCTGATTGCTTATCATGTGGCACACAATGTGGATATGATAATCGACGGTCGATGATTATCGACCAAAGGGGCTTTGATGGTTTGATCAAGGTGGGATGTATTTTAAGAAGGGAAATTGCGGAATGCTGTCCACACGACCATCCCTATGAGAATTGTTAGGAAGGTGAGACTCCTGAAAATAAAATCAAAATGTCTGGAACCTACTGAGACCCTAAACACTCTACTAAAGCCTCAATAAGAAAGCCGACAAGCATCCAGGCCGATGAATCACTTAAGCAATTCAGCAAAAGCCGACGAAAGTTCAGGCACGCCACTGAAACACGACCGACTATGATAAGTATTTAGGCACTTTATAGAAACCCTCCCGATGTTGATGGGTGTTCACTGAACGCTGATCAACCAGCCTGGATCAATGCCAAAAAGTGCCCTTTAAACAGCGCGAGGCCGTTGTGAATTTTGCACTCGCACATACTCGCTTGTTCGCAAGAAGCTGTTGCGTTCCTCATCAGCAAGTCTTTTTTTAGGCACTGGGCACTGAAGCGGGCAAAACAGTCAGATATAACAGGAAGTAAAATATGGAACGGAAAACGGGAATGGGTTCGATCACTAGATTTACAAGAACTCACGACTATCCCAAATAGCCTCAAAAAATCGGTTACAGTCTTTGGTGTAGCAGCACTTATGAAAAACAATGTAAATGGACGACAGAAACTGACTCTTATGGTCGGCCATTGACAGGCACTGTTGGCGGTCGACAGCCAGTTGTGAGTGGTCAGGAGAGAGGACTGCTTCAACACCTAGTTGAACACCAAAATAAGAAAGTTTTAGCGTGGGATATGCTGAATTTGTTGCCTGCACCAGATGGCAAGTGAATTTCCAAGACTTCTTTTACCGGACACAATAAGAAACGCGCATTCATGCTCTACCCTGGAAAGTTTGACAGTACCAACACGTCTCTCTCAGTCATGCTGAACGCAATGCATCGAGA